TCTAGCAAAATGGTATAGGACTTTTCACCTCAGTTTTATTCCTTCTATCTGCCTACGAGAGATGTTAAACCAATTCTGGGACACCCTGTATATTTATTAGTTTGGAAACTTTGGAGCCTTAAAAAGATTCTTTAATTGTGCAAATTTATATATATTGTGCTGTTCTTGCTTGATATTTCAGGTGATCCACTGCGCGGGGTATCTCAAATGCGTCGTGGAAACGCCTATCGGGTCCGAATACGAGGACGGAGCCAGTCGATGTGTTCGGAATGTCGGTCTATTGGCGGTCGGCCATTCGCTCCCGACGAGTTCCATAACGGAAATAAAGTTGCACCACAACATGTTTATGTTCCGAGCGTCCCTCGATTTGAAACTGATATTCCTCGATGCGCGGTAAGATTTTTTGGTCGCATCACACTAATAACGCTTTCGCTCAAGAGAGAAGTTTTGCCTTTCGCAAACAACTGTTTGAAAAAATGCTTTTTATATTTTTCCTCGTGGTGTTCTTTATTTATTTTATACAATCAATCAATTGCGAGTGCGACGTCAAAAAAAAAAAAAAAAAAAAAAAACATAGTCAATCAAACGGCGTGTTGATATTTAATAACATTAGTAACACAAGTTTACTGAACGAAATAACATATAGAGATTAGAGATGTAATAAATTTTGTCCTTGAAGCGCGCGCTCTTCTCGCAGGAGGACGGAAGCGAGCGTGGTGTTGACTCGAAAGCTTTTTACCGTACAGTATACACACAGAGAGAGTAGATTATTTATTTCCAATGTAATTATAGTCGGGTGTCGTATTGCGCCATTAATATTTCGATGGAAGGCCCGGTCGTGGACGACGGAGAGAGAGAGAGGTGGAAAAGGGAGTACCGACCATTAAAATCAGTTTCGTGTTACCGCGCGCTGCTCCGCGCGCGTATCCTCTTTTTTTTTTTTTTTTTTTTTCCTTTCCATCCGCGGCAAATAAATATCCACCACTGGCGCGGTGGAGCCTCGACGAGCAGCCCCGCGTTACGCCCGTTCACTGGGAACGAACACGTGACGCAGTATAAATATAGTGTGGATAGAGGCGCGCGATGAAATTTTATACACACACATATATACATATATATATATATATATATATGTATATGTATATACATATATATGTGTACATATAAAACGCGCCGATCGGAATCAGTTTACGCGCGCGGATTGTGCAAACTCGCGACGCTCGCACCCGTAAATCCCGATGAAAACAAGCCCGATCTCACCGAGAGCGAAAACCTACCCTTCGCATAGCTTTTTACTGTACTAGTGGCGTTTCCCATTATTGTTACAGGGTAGCGCAGTTGACGGGATACGAACCGTCGGATCTTATAGAGAAAACTCTATATCATTATGTGCACGGATGCGACATTCTGCAGCTCCGACATGCTCATCGTGTTTGTAAGTATATTATATAAATAAATATTATATTATATTATAATATATAATATTTATTATTAAATATTATATATAATATTATATTAAATATTATATATTATATTGTAATATTAGAAATATTATATTATATTATAATATTATATTATATAAATAAATAATATGTGTCTTTGAGACAGTACAAGCGACATAGAGTAAAAGACCCAATTACTCTCACCCGTCCAATTACTGTCACCCTAAGCTATTTTATTAAAAATATTAAATAAATCCTAAAAAGTTATGCATGAAAAAAATCTAACATAGAATTTTATGTGCAATTAATATAACAAAAAAAAAATCCAGCACTCAACATTCTTGTTCTCATTTCTTTCATTTTAGGGGGTGACGGTAATAGCTCTCGCATCGTTCTTTTTTAATTATTAAATTTATAAATAAAAATAGAGATTTTGAGAGGCGGTATTATTTTGTTTCTTACATTAGAGACATCGAATAATATCAGATAAGAAGAAAAACACACATGTTTTTGATAAATAAATAGTAAAAACAATTCGCTAACGCCAGAGTTTATTATTCAGGTGATCAGTAATTGGGTCTTTTACCCTATAGCGTTCTATATCGTTTCCAAAAATCAATAGATATCTTTTTCTCTCCTTTACATTATATAGCTCTCAGATGAGAATTTATTTAATATTCAAATATAGACCTTTTCGCATTTAGAATCCGTCCAAGTATCTGTTTTTAAAATTTACATTTTTTTTTTCAAAACTATGATATTTTTTAAAATAATTTTGAATAAGAGAAATGTGTACATATTATATATACACATATATAATANCAGATAAGAAGAAAAACACACATGTTTTTGATAAATAAATAGTAAAAACAATTCACTGACGCCAGAGTTTATTATTCAGGTGATCAGTAATTGGGTTTTTTACCCTGTTATCAAGCAAAGTGAAAAATAATTTTTGTTAGTTACACGAACTATATACAATATGTGTATATATCTCTTGAATTATTTTAGAGAGCAATATAAAGAGCAACGCTTTGTGTTGCACACAAATTATTTCTCCCCTTCGTTTATTATATTTTTTAATCGCATCTAAGTACGCGTTATCTCTCTCATTCACGCGAATTGATGACGCGCGCCAGTGGGTTTTTTTTTTTTTTATTCTTTTCGAAAGAGAGAGTATTGCTACGCAAACATACATTTTCTCGCTATATAAAATAGCCTGTGTTTTTTTTTTTTTTTTTTTTTTTGAAATCGCTATATATTTTCACCTGCGTGTTTTCGCCGATCGTGGAGTGGTCACCACCGAGTTTATATCCGAGAGAAACTCAACCAAATGTGTGCGAATGCAAAAAGAACAACAATCAGCTCTTGCGAAACAAATGTTTGGAAAAATATTTTCCTCGCGTGTTTCTTCCGGATGTCGCGGATCGACGGGTCCGTCGTAAGATTTTCTTAATACCGGCGTGTCGACACTCTCGAGGAAAGATGGAGACTCCTCTCCTCTCGTGGAGCTGACGCTGCTTAACTCAGCTACGCCCTTACGCTGTGCCCTTACGAGGCACATTCTTTTTGATCTTTCCTCGCTCTCCTCTCTCGGCTCCTACAACTACGTATATTTCTACTCCGTTCCATTTTTCCTCTCTTTGAGCCGCGCATCGTCGCTTGCGCGCGCGCTTATTCTAAGTATGTGCACACGTGGAGTAGTACACCTCTACAGTGTACATTATTGATTGAACAATGTTGCCACAGCGAAAAGAGGTGGCTGCCGATGTGCACGAGTGTGTCTATGAGCAAGAGAGAGAGAGAGAGAGAGAGAGAGAGAGAAAGAAAGAGAGGGGCACAATACAGGGAGGTGTAAGAGGGAGGGAAAGTAGACGCGAGGGAGGTTTAGCGAGAGAGCGAGGTAGGAGGCTGTTACTGCTATCACTGTTTGAACAGACTCGCAGTTTCACGAGCAGCGACTCCAAGGGAGCCTGACATAATGCCGCTAATGTCTGCGCCTGCGGATTGCGCCGCTGCTCGATTTTTTTTTTTTTCCGTGATTCGATGGCGGATATCACGGGCGTTTCTGTCGTTAGAATTTTTCTTCAAATATATATCACATATAAATTATCAACGATTTCTTTTCGATTATCTTTAACTTGTCCTATTTTTTTTTTTTTTGCGTCAGCTAATTTTTAATTAATTCTCTTTGTATATTTTTTTGGAATTATCTGAAATATTTGTCCTCATTAAACTTTGTTCAGCATTTTTGATCAACTGTTTGCATATTTTTACATTAAAAAAATTTTCTTGTAGCACTTGCATTTTATTTTAGTTTCTCTGGTGTTTTGCATTTTCTGGTTCCACCTGTAACATGTAATTGTTAATTTAAACAACTAAAATCCGTACAAAAAAGATAATGATCGCATTTGTTGACAGTGTTATGCAAGGGTCAGGTAACGACGAGGTACTACAGGTTTTTGACGAAAACCGGCGGTTGGGTGTGGATGCAATCGTACGTGACAATTGTTCACAATTCGAGGAGCTCACGTCCGCACTGCATCGTGTCCGTCAACTACGTGCTGACGTCCACCGAGAACACTGGCCTGATCATGAACTGCGAGCAGAGATCTACTTGCTCGAGTCCGGGGAATCCCCCGAGCGCGCCAGTATCGACTCCTACGATTAGCGCGAACGACTTGGACAATCAGAGTCCGAGTCCGCCTTCATATCGCAGTAGAACCAAAGAGCCACCCGATGGCGAATATACCGACACCCCGAATTCTGGATATCCAAATTCCGAGTACATGGTTGGCTCGACGAATCACAGTCACTATCTGTCTTCGTCGCCATACGCGTCCCATAGCGTAAATGGCGCGGCGCACGAGGACAGTGCCTATTATAGTCCGGACTTATTCTACCCGTACGGTGGTGAGTCGTATTTTGATTCTACATTTGAATTTTTGTAAAAAAATGTAAATTTGTGCAAATGTGCAAAAGACATTTTTAATAATATTTTTATATTTACAATATTATAAAATAAATAAAAAAGAAATAAACTATTTTTTTATAAAACAAATCACATTTTTTTTTATACTATATACGTTACGACTATTAATCACTATATATATCAGGTCACATTTTTGTTAGTTTTCTTACAGCTTGCCACTTTCAATAACGTTAATGATGGATTAATTAATAAGAAATAATTACGGTCATCCGAGCCGATCGCAGGATGTTGTGCAGAAAACTACGTGTATATACAGGGACTTATACCGGTATGCAAAATACCGGTATTTTACCGATATTTTTGGGTAATACTATGAAAACCCTTATGCAAACCGAAATGCAGAAATACCAGTATATTTACCCATATTTATCTATATTTACCGATAATTTTTTCGTGATTTTTTA